ACCCTGGGATCATGACCCGAGCCGAAGGCAGACGCCCAACCGACTGAGCCACCCAGGCGCCCCCAAAGAGTTACTCTTGACTGGAGTTTCAAATAAATAGAGAAAGACTGATGTATTTTGGTGTTGTAAAGTAATGGCCCTCTTAATTAAAATTTCAAGTTCCTGTAAGAGATGAAAAGTGATAAACTCTTCAGGGTGGATAATACAGTGGCTGTTCTTCCTTCTGGTTTTCTTCCTTTAAATTCCTTTTATCACAGCTATCATAGGGTTTATAATACTTCACTTTTTTCTCCAGACAAAGCATGAAGAAAAGCAAAATTAAATCCTATATGACTCTTTACTCAAACAAGGTGAGCTGGAAACTATAATTCAGCTTAATTTTCAAATGAGTTAAACTAAAAACAAAATTATCAGAAAAAGTTCAAGGAAGAGTTTAGTGCAAGTCACATATTGTTTTCACTTAGAGAGCTTTCCAAGACATTTTTCTGTTCTCATTCTTTGCAAGACTGCTCATGTCTTTTAGTTTGTTTAAATATTCCAAGTAAGGGTGCAGCTTTGTCATGAGGGAATAACAGGGTTTCAAATCCCAGGCTAAGGATTTCGGCACTATTCTATAGGCATTGGTAAAGGGTCCAAAACATAATGACTAGAAAAACTGAATAATCAAGGTTTTGTTTAAGGAAGATTTGTGCTGGAAGGGTAGGAGATGGATCAGGCAGTGAAGGATATTAGAAATGGAAAGGCCAATTAAGAGGATAACAGTTCAGGTAAGGAGTAAAGAAAGCATGAAACAGTGTAGGCAAAGTGATAAAGGAGAAGAGGGAGCAGAGAGGAAACGAGATGCAGACACAGGCCTGACAACTGGTATCTACAGGATAAGGTGACAGGATGCAAAGATAACACCAAGTTTTCTAGTTAAATCCATTTTTTTAAAGTAACCACGAAACTAGAGGGTAGCAGCATTATGTCAGGAAATAAGGGCAGAAAAACACTAACATGAAAAAGCACCTGGAGGGATGAGAAATTTGGTTTCGGTCAGAGCTTCAGAGAATGAGAGGTTCAATACTGGAACCATGTTGAAAGCACAGTCAGGGTCATTTAAAATCACAGTCAGAGAAGCTATAATCAGAATCCAAGGCTGCCTTCAAATCAAGACTCAAAAATGTAGGCCATGTGATCTCAGTTTTGGGGTACTCTAATAAAGTCAAGAAGAATGCCCTAATGATTCCAGATTCACAGGTCTCTTCAGTTAAAGCTACTAAAGCCTAGGGCGCCTGGGTGGCTCAGTTGGTTAAGCGACTGCCTTCGGCTCAGGTCATGATCCTGGAGTCCC